TGCCAGTGGGGGCACAGTGTGCCTTGTGCAGTGCTGGGGGTTGGGGACCTCCATATAGTACACAGCACAGTGTGCTCAGTGATCACTGCGGCCCTAGGAGGGTGGGCCCTTCTGTGCAGCACTCTTGCTGGTCGGGCAGGGTCCCTCTGCACAGTGTGCGGTACTGGTGGGGCTGGCCCTTCAGTGGGATGCATTGCACAGGTGAGACAGGGCCCTGGGGGCTCAGCACACAGCGCTTTGGGGATAGGGCCCTTTGGTTCGATTTAGCACACACAACTCTAGTGGACTAGACACCCTTCTGCTGAGTGCTGGGGTGGTGGAGCCGGGTGATTCAGCCACCCCGTTTGTTGGCAGGGATTCACTTGGTTATCAGCTGTTGGCTGCTGTAGGTTCCAGGGTTGCTGGGTTTTAATATATGTCCAGTACCTTTCTGAAGCGTAGAGTTGCCCCCCCACACACACACACTAGGTGTGGAAGTAATTGTACAGAGGTGAGTGAGTACAGACCTGGGGCAGGTTGTGTGCAGGATGAGCCTGCAGTGTCTTACAGTGCAGCCCCACCCACCCCACTGCCAACTAGACAACTCCAACTCTGTGACCCGATATCCCGGGACTGGAAATCTGTACAGGAGCAGACAGCCTCATCTTTCATGGCTGGTGGGTGTGAACCACCAGCCTTGTGTTTAGCAGCCCAACACTATCCCATAGCACCACCAGGGCTCCTTGTCTAATCGTAAGGAAGGACTTCAAATCCCCACAATGATGGAGATAATGTCAAAGGGACCCAGGAGCCAACTGAAAGAGCCCTCAATGGCCAGTGCTGGAACCATTAAAGCCAACAAAATAATGTACAGGCAGTCTTTCTGTTAACGAACGAAATCTGTTCTAACTCTGTCTCCTAGGATTTTGTAAGTCAGTCAGAAAAGGTGCATATGGCTCTTATGCAAGAAAAGGCTCGAAGCCTTTTTAATGGTGTGTAAGCTGCGTGTGCAGCAAGTGAAGGTGATTGTGATGAAGAATTTGTTGTGTGTAGGGCTTGGTTCAGTTGTTTGAAAGTAAGGGCAAATTTACCTAACACTAAAACAGGCCTTCAAAGATGGCGGCACCCGTCTGAAAGATGGCAGTGTGCCCAGCTCCTTTGAATGTATGTGGCTTTCCTCAGTCCTGCAAAAAAATAAAATAGCCCAGTCTCCTGCATCAGGCATCTGAAAGGGCTCACTATGTCTTTCTGCAGAATCCCAAATAATATGTGTAGATATGAGGGAGCTTGAAAAAGCTCATAGAAAACTGGAATGAAAAGATCATGGACTTTCCCACAAACTTTGTGAAGCCCCTTTGATGTGCTGTTACTCTGGTAGTGACTCCAAAGAGTGCAGTATGGAAACTTTTCAGTGGAGAAACCTACAAATAGTACCTCAGCCAGGTGGCCAAGGTCACTGTCAACAGTGATAACTTGTTGAGTGTAAAAGGAATCCAGGAACCAATGGGAAGAGCCCCCAGTGGCCAAAGCTGGACCAGTGTGATGAGATAGGCACTTCACCTCAAAACTCCCATCATGCCAGTCTAACCAAAATCACCTGACCCAGTACTCAGAACAGTCAAGGTCACCAGAAACAGGGTAAGCCAAAGTCATTAGAAACAAGGCAAGCTGAGAAGCTATCAAAGGTGACAAGATGACGAAGTATAATGTACCTGGACTGGACTGAGGAACAGTACAAGGCTGTTAGGTAAAAACCAAGAACATTTACATTCAGTATGCAGTTAAGTGTATCAATATAGTTTCATTGATTGTGATAAATGGCCCATGCTAATAGTGAGGGGGATGAGTGTAGGGTATGTGGGAACTCTGTACTGTCTTTCCAAGTTTTCTATAAATACGCTGAAGAAAAAGGTACAGAGAGTCTGGTATATCCTTCACCCAGATGGCCCTTTAGCATTTTACCATATTTTCTTCTGTTTATCTACACACATGGATAGGTGCACACCTTTGTTCCTTGTATCATTTGGGAATGTTATGGACATAATACACCTTTATCTTAAAAACAAGAACATTCTCTTAAATATAGTTCAATTGTGCTTTTCTCTAACACCTTGTGGTGCAATGGCCTCACTGTGTATTACCCCCCACCCCATTTTTCTTCCGTGTCCACTCTTGGGTTTGAAATGCACGTGACAGATACTTGGCAGAAAGTTTCTCAACCTGTGTTTGTTACCTGCTGCTTGCTTGTGATTGGAGTTCCATCTGCACTGGAGTTCAATGTTGCCTTTTTGGGCAGTAATGCTCAGAAGTTGATGAGTCCTCCGTGTTCCCTTTCCAGAGGCCCATGCTGATGAATTGGCCTCTATTAGTGGTGATGTTAACTCAGATCCCAGGTTTAAGGAGCTGTCAGGCTCCTCCACCAGAAAGTGATTCTTTTTCTCATTAGAATAAGTAAGTAGCTGGTGGGGATACTTTAAGACTGTAAATATACACAGTCCAGACTTAGCACAGGTTCTGTTCCAACGACTCGGTCATACGACTCGGTCATAGCTAATTTTGGTTTTGTTTTCATTATTGCTTTTTTATTTTAAGTGTCTGTAGAAATCTGATCTTTATTTGTTTTTGCGGATTGGACAAAAACCTTTCATAGAAACTTACAGGTAAATATTAACATTCTATGTAGTACACATTACTGACTATAAGAGGTACCCTCCCCCCAAAAAAGGCCGCAAGTGGTGTTTATTGTTAACTCAACTCCGTTTTAAGTCAGGGCCCACCTGTTTGCTTTTCATCAAACCTTCCTCCATTAGTTCTAACATCTCGTGCATAAAACTTATCATTGTGGTGATTGCTGAACCCAACTTTCTGATTTGATTACAGTGCCGTGTAGCAGTTCAGACTCATAGCGACATTGTGCACAATAGAACAAAACACTGCCCGGTCCTGTACCCCCCACAGTTGTTCCGTTTGAGTTCACTGCTTCTCCCACATACATTTATGAGGACAGTGGTGGTGCTGTAAGGATGCCTGGTGGTTCCATGGTTAAGCGCTTAGCAGCCAACTGAAAGGTTGGTGGCTTTAACCCACCGGCCACTCTACAGGAGAAACATGTGGCAGTCTGTACCTGTATACCAGAGACCCAGTGGGGTTAGTTCTTCTCTGCCTTATAGAACTGATGGAATGGATGGGCAGCAAGCTAACAGGGAGTTTAGTGGTAGAACTCTTGTTTCCCATGTGGGTTTGGTTCCCAGCCAGTAGACCTGATGCACAGCCACCCCTTGTCTGTCAGTGGAGGCCTGTGAACTGCTATGGTGCTTAACGATTTTCAGCGAAGTTGCTAGACTAAGATGCATTAGGAAGAAAGGCCTGGTGATCTACTGCCAAAACCCTGTCAGTAAGAGCCTGTGGCCCACAGTGGTGACAATGCAGCAGCTCTTGGGGACAGCACCAGACTAGCAGCATGTAGCTTTATGGTGCATGGGGTAACAGTGAGTCTTGATGGCTGCTAGCAACAACCCCCCACATTTATTCACAATTCTCAGGAAGAGTGCACCCCCTCCCCTTATCAGAATGGACTTATATTCATTTTATCCAGTGGCTTATGATTGATTTATATATTCTGCTGTTCAAGTTGTCCTCGATTTGGCTCCTGACCTCTGTGCCCATTTGATCATTACTATCATTGGAACATTTACTTTCTGCACAGAAAATGTTCCAGATGAATCTTCTGCTTTCCCTGCTTGCGCTTTCAGCTCTAATTCCTGTGGGTTGAGAAATGGTACAAGAGAGCCCAGGACTGGGCACTGTGTGTGCTTGGCACTGCTCTGAGGCCCTCTCAGTGGATGGGGCTAGGAAACACAAGGGGGGAGGGGGCGGGCACCAAAAAGTTCATGGGAGAAGGAAATGGAAAGATGCAGACTTTTTCCACGAGCAGAAGCCCTGTCGTAGTTGTACGGAGACATGTCTTCCTTCCAGAGTGGACCTCCTACAGGTCTCTGCTCAAATGGCACCTCCACGTGAGGACATTCAGCCTCTACATTATCAGCCCACAATTTGGTTTCCAATTTCATTGCAACACCACAAGGATTGTGCTAACCTCTCCATATTTGCACATCCATCTTCTGACTGGAACTGGACTCCATTACACAATATATGTATTTACTCAATCCTAGACTACAGCTAAAATAGTTGCTAAGTTGTTAACCTATACCGCTGCCAAATAAAATAACCCTACTAACTGGAGTTCAGTATTTGTGTGTGGTTCTTTCAGTCCTGAATTGAGGCTGTAAAGTAAGAATACGAAGGGGCTTCTAAAAAGCTCGTGGAAAAATGTCATTATCTTTATTGATTCCAGTTTTATCTAAACTTTTTGAAGCCTCCTTGGACTATACGCCAAGATCACCCCTGTAGTTCTGTTACACAAGGAGTTGGGGGAAACTCATCTTTCTCCCCCAGAGGGACTGGTGGGTTCAAATCGCTAACCCTTCAGTTGGCAGGCAAGCGCTTTAACCACTGTGGCACCAGCGCTCCTTTGCACAGAGCAGAGTCTTTCCTTAAATCTTTGCTAAGTGATATTTTGTTCCCCAGCCTTGAGCTTCTACTGTCAGGCCTTGTACCAGGCACTTACCAAGCACAACTTCATGAAGTCCTCAGACCACCAGTGTCAGCTGAGCTTTGAAATAACTGAATTTACAGGAGAAAACCCTCTGAGGCGCACTTTCTGGTCTCCAGTAGCTTGTTTGAGATTTGAATTCAGCTGCTGAATCACTGATGGCTGGAGCTGGCAGAGCCAGCCTATCAGGACTCGGAAGGCGGGGACTCTCTATATATATCATTGTGTGTTTACACCTGGCTAAATGAGGCGTTCTCAGAGCGCATGCTCCAGGCACATTTAAAATGCCTGTGGTGGGACCCGCCCTCCAGTGAGAAGAGGTCGGACGTCACCAGCCTCCAAGATGCTGGTGAGAAGCAGCCGCCAGGGACCCACCTCCGAGCCTCGGTCTCTCCTGACTCTCGAGATGATGACTCCAAGTCCCTATCCCCCGCAGAGTCCTGCGGCCTCCCTTGATCCAGAGCCTCCGAGTGCTCCACTCCTCGGTAGCGTCCCCGCGGGCACAAATTTGTACCCAGGACATCCAGCAAGGCCCCCGGGGCCATGGGCTCCTCCGGGACTAGAGGAGGCACTGGGCATGCTGGGGCTGGAGGGAGAACGCGAGTATGCCGGGGATATCTTCGCCGAAGTCATGGTGAGCGAGCTGGGGCAGAAGCCCCGGCAGAGGCTGCCCTGGGGTTAGCATTTGAGGAGGTGAGGCTGGGTTGTTCGCCTAGTAAAAGTATACAGACTCCCACCTCTCCAGCATCCTCTTCCACTGGCTTCTCTTGTTCCCCTGGCCTTCTTGTCTGGTTTACCTTCTTGCAGTTTCTACGGCTCCAACACCCTTTCCACCACCTGGACTTCCCCCATCCCTCCATTTTGCTGCTCCGTAGTCTCTCACAGGTGTCCCTTACATTTATTCATTTGCTATTTAGTGATTCACTTCAATGGTTTTGAGCACCGTTCTAGGGATATGATACTATGATGGACCAACCAGTTCGTTTGGTGGGCAGACAAATGAGATAATTTTAGACATCACAAAGACCAAAAACAAGCCATGAGGTCTTCAGATAGCCACGTGGATGAGATATGCCACGTTGGAAGGAAGACTGGAGGGATGAATTCTCTTCCCATGCATTTTGTGGGCGCTTCTTCTAGGCTCCAGTCTGTTAGGAACTAGGATACAGCTCATGTGGGTCAGTGGACAAAACTCAGAGAAACATCAGATACCTTCAGATGAAAATGCTATGTGTGATTAAATAAAAGAAAGTCGTGAGACTAATGGAATGGAGGGAAGAGGATTGAAAAAAGGGGAACAAATGACTGAAGAGCAAGCGATGGAAGGAGCAGGGGAAAGACCACTTCAGGAGAATAGTACGTGCAAAGACCCTGGGATAGGAATGAGTTTGGCACTGTCTAGGAAAGCACTGTAGGATAAGCACTGGACTACCAACCACAAGGTCAGCAGTTCACACCCACCATTTGTTACTCGGAAACCCTATACTGACAGGAATCAACTGAACGGCACTTAACAACAAGGAGTATGGGTTGTGATGGGGGAGAGGGATGTCGGACACAGGGGCAAAGCCTAAGAGTAAAAGGAATTAAGGTTTTATTTTAAAAACTGAGAGCCAAGGAAGAGTGTTCTTTAAAAAAAAAAAAATTCTTTTAATTGTAGAGTCACTGAGTTAGAATCAACCATAGGCAACTAACAACAAAAAGTTACACTTTTAAAAGAAATCCATTGTCTGTTTTTAAAACTTTTTTTTTTTTTAACAACTTTTCGTTGTGAATTGAGTGAACGTTTATAGAGCAAATTATCAGCTTTATATTCAACAAATCGTCCACTTTGTTACAGCTCAATGACTGTAATCCCCTCCAGGTAACATCATGGATTCCACTTCCTCCCTGTGGTTCGTGTTTCCATTCCTCCTTTCTCAACCCTTCTGAACTTGTCTTTGAGTAAATGCTGCCCTTTTGGTTGGCCATTCTATGGTGTATCTAGTGTTGTCTCTTTTATATACCTATTGCTTGGCTGAAAATTAAGCACGGGGGGTGAAACATTATCTTTTAATGAAAATTTTCCATGAAAAATTTTAAATCCCCTAATGTAGCCCTGGTATCATAATGGGTTACGAGTCGGGCTGCTAACTGCAAGGTTAACCACCTGAATTTACCAGATGCTCCGTGAGAGAAAAGATGCAGATTTCTGCTCCCATAAAGATATACAGCCTTGGAAATTCTATACAGGGATCGCTGGCTGAGTCGGAACTGACTTCACTGTACACAACCACCACCACCACGTGTAGCAAAACTTTGCCTTTTCATTACGTTTTACATGTAAATTCAGAGACATTAACCATATTCATCATGTGCAATCCTCAACGCTGTTTTCTACATTTCCTTGGGATGTTTTTTTAATTGGGAAGTTCCTTGGTATGCTTTATACTTAAGTTCTTCTCGATGAACTAAGGGATGGGTTGAATGATGGTGATCAAGATTGGTGTCTGGGAACCCTAGGTAGCCACTCAGGAAGGCTGTAGCCCCGAGAAGAGCTGGGAAGGGAGCGTCCAGGGCAAATCCCGGGGTTCTAGATGGGGCTGGGTAGAGGAGCAGATGTGAAGGCCAGTTTGGGTGTAGTACCCATGCGATCGATGTCTTCACTGGCATCCAGGAGGCCGCTGCTCTCGGGATGAGCTCAGGAGAGACCCAAGGCACAGGTGTGGAGAGTAAGATTGGCCTTGCCTAACTCCAGGTGTGCCGCACACTGCCCGGGAGGGCCTTGCCCCGCTCCGTGACCCCGGAGATGCGCGCGCTAGTGGTGGATTGGCTGGTCCAAGTGCACGTACGTACGTAGCCACGTACCGACGTACCCGGAAAAGGGCGGGGTGGGTCTACGTCACTTCCTAGGACCCCGGTAGTCACTCGTACCCCTCCCCAGGAGTACCTGGGCTTGGCGGGGGACACGCTGTACTTGGCCGTGCATCTGCTTGACTCCTACCTGCGCTCGGGTCGAGTTCGTCTACACCAATTGCAGCTCCTAGGCGTGGCGTGCCTGTTCCTGGCTTGCAAAGTGGAAGAGTGCGTACTTCCCGAGGTACTTCCGGGGTGGGGTTTAGGAGGGCAGGGCGTACTGTGTGTCAAGCGTCTTGCTGAGCGCTTCATTTATAATTGGAATTCTAACATCTATATGAGGTTGGAACCACCAATGTATCCCTTTAACGGAGAGACCGAAACCTAGAGCGGTCCGAAGTCTTGTAGTTGGGACTCGGTCTCAAGTCTTGAAAAGTTACACATAGTTAACACTCATGAACGCAGTGACATATAACGGGCTTGGTGAAGTGAGGAATAGTACCTCCATTTTACAAATGAGGAAACTGAAACTTCGAGAGTTTATGCTATACACATAGGTAACGTAAACGCATGCCTTTGATACCGAAGCTAGCGATCTCTATAACGTCACAGGCCAGGACATTGAGGTCTTAGACCTTCCAAGGCAGGGAGTCGAGAGCTGAGTCCAGTGCCCTTCCCTCTTCCCACTGCCCCCTCTGCAGTCCGCTTCCCTCTGCTTCCTGGGTGCCGGCTCCTTCTCTCGGACCCAGCTGCTGCGTGCAGAGCGCCGCATCCTGAACCGCCTGGACTTCCGGTTGCATCACCCGGGACCGCTGCTGTGCCTGGGACTGCTGACTGCGCTGGCCCGGAGTAGCCCACAGGTGCGGAGTAGGGGGTAGGACTTGTGCAGGGTGGGTCGGGATTTCAGGGAGGGAAGAACCAGACGTTGCAGTTGCCGCTGCGATTGCCGCGCCACCAGGTGATGTTGCTCGCTACCTATTTCCTGGAGTTATCCCTTCTGGAGGCTGAGGCTGCAGGATGGGAGTCGGGTCGCCGCGCGGCCGCTGCACTGAGCCTGGCGCACCGTGTGCTCCACAGGACAGGACCGGAGCCAGCGCTTTACAGGTATGGCCCCAGTGACTTCAGGGACCTTTCCTACCAGGTCTCTTGTCTTTACCTGTATTCAGATAATGGGGGACAGCTAGGAGATAAGGGGACTAGTCGACCCTTCTCCAGGATCTAGCTAGTTCAGACTTGAGAATGAAGGGTATGCCAGTCCCTGAGTCGCCCAGCTCCACAGCGGGCCGAAGAAGGGGTGACCCTTGAGCTGTTAGCTAGTCTACCAGTGGCAAGGCAAATCCTCATTTCTCCTAGCCGTGGCCCTGGGGTACAACTGGATATCTGCTCATCATCGCCCTCCCCACTCGCCTTAGATCCTAGTTTTCCCTTAGCTGCACCCTGCGTTTGCCTCTTATGGGGCTCCTGGTCACTCTAGTTGAGAATGGCCCGTCTGGCCGAACCCCTGAGCAACCCCCGGAAATCCAAGTCGGAGACCCAAGTCTCAGCTTTAGGCCTCCATTTCCATTACCATCCCTTTGCCCAGTCTTAGTTTCTCCATCTCCCCGTGCAGTCCTGAGGAGCTGGGCCCCCTTGAGCGGTGCATGGTCCGTGCGGCGCTCCGGGGTCCCGCGCCGGGCCGGGCCGCCATCTTCCTTAAGTACGCACGGCCGCAGCACCAAGGCACCAGCCTCGATGCCGTCCGCCTGCTCCGCAGTCCCCATTCCGAGCGTCCCTGAGTCTGGAAAAACCCTGTCAAAAAAAAAAAAGGCTCCGTGTATGTTTATAGTTTACTTCATTAAAGAGTTTCTTTTACTTCCTGTGCTCGCGATCATCATTGGTCAAGTGCGTTCCGTCTTTCACGTTTGATTGGTCGCTTTGTAGATCACTCATCTCTCTGATTGGATGATTTCAACAACTTCCTAATTGCCACTGGAACATGCTGTACGAATTCTGAATTCTTCCGCGAGGGGGTGCTGGCGGACTTCTTCAAGCCCCGCTCCGTTGCGTTTTTTGTTGTTGTTAAGTACCGTGGAGTCGGTTCTGACTCATAGTGACCCTACACAGGGTTTCCGAGGCTGTAAATCTTTACGGGAGCAGAAAGCCTCATCTTTCTCCCGTGGAACTGCTGGTAGTTTCGAACAGCGTTTGGAGGGATTAAAAACAAACCGGGTACCACACACTGAAAAGTTTTCAGGAGATGTAAGAAAAATCATAACACAAACTGAACCACCATTGGCCTTACTGTTAGGGAACTAAGAATGTCCACTCCATTCTTGAGGAATACTGCCCCAATGTTGCCAGGTTTTCAGATTTTATTGAAGTGAGTCTGAAAATCTAAAAATCCCATAAATTCTGCTTTTATATGTTGGCAACAAATTCAGAATCCTTTAATGATTGGATAAACCCACCACATTATGTGTGCTGGTCACCAGTTTGGGATGCTCTGAGAGTCTCTAATAGTAAAAGTTCAAGAACTCCAATCTGATTTACTTAATCCCAGAAGTGCTTCATTTCATTATCTTTTTTTCATGTCTTGGTTTATTTTATTTACTTTTTAACTTTTTATTGTGAATTGAGTGGTTTTATAGACAAGATTATCATCTTTACATTCAACAAATTAAACACATTGTTTCATCTCAATGATCACAACCCCCTCCCTGCAACAACAGTTACCTGGCTTCCTCCCTGTGGCTTCCCTTTAACATCTTCTATGTCACAAATGAACAAAGAGAAAAAGTATTTGATGTATACATATAAAACAAAAAATATATAATCATTTAAATGTCCAAAGGGCACATTCTGCACTCCTGCGTACAGCCTTCCTCAGTCCATGGGCCTAGAGTCCGTAGCTGCTCCGTCTCTCCATGTCACTGCCTCTGCCACCACCTCTGCTCTCACCACTTTTCTAGGTAGGGATCTCATGCTCTTCCTTCTTGATGGTCCTGGGATCCTATATTCCTGAAATGAAAGATTAACTACTCCCCCCTTTTAGTTACACATCTTCTGCAATTACAGTCGGACAATCACAACCCTGCTAACAGTTACAATTGAATCATAAAATGCCACCATCACCAGCATCCCTAATCCCCTTCCTTTCACCAGATCCTTATGGAAAAGAGGGAAACTATTCAGTGGAGATTCTACCTTACCCCTCTCATTCTGAAACTAAGCACATTTATGAAAGCTTGTAAAACTACCACTTAATACCTTTATAGCGCCCTCAGTTTTAATAGCCAGTGTCTACATTGCCTGTTCCTAAGGAGCTCTGGTAGCATAGTGGTTACGAATCGAATCGGGCTACTAACCTCAAGGTCGGCAGTTCGAAACTATCAGTGGTTCCGTGGGAGAAAGATGAGGTGGTCTGCTCCCGTAAAGATTTACAGCCTTGGAAACCCTGTGTAGGGTCACTATGAGTCGAAGCCGACTCCACGGTACTTAACAACAACAACCAACCCAGTACACTGAGGAAACATGATTTTTCCTTGATCTGAAGAATCCTTCCATTCCGGTTGGAATTTTAAGCAACTGCATCCATAAGCAAAAGTCCAGTTCATCAAACTGTAGCAATTTGCAATTGCTCACAGTAGCAAACATCTTTATCTTCATCTGGTCAAATTCTGGTCAGCTAGCCATTCAAGCTAGGTCAAATGGGTACTAGCTGCAAGCATGGGAGTTCACGCACACCTTGCACTGCAGACCAGCTGATCACTTGAATCCAAGCCCTAGCCCCCAGGGGCTAGGTCAGGGCTCATGGGTTTAGGAGTTCAAATATCTCCCTAAAGTTCAGATCAGCCAGCCCTTCCTCGTCTCTGTCTCATCTCAAGGGCAACAAGTGTCAATGGAACATGGTTAGCCTCAGCCCATGTCTTCATTGCTGCATCTCCCCCACAGCCACTCACAAACAGACCTAGGTGGGTTTCATTATCTTTGAATTCCATTTCCCTTGAACTTTTGAAACCCACTCATATATGAAGTGCTTAGGACAATACTTGACATACAGTAGAGGTGTCTAGCATCCTAACAGGACTGTGAGGTACAGTTAGCCCATTTGCTACTGTCCCCATAGCACCTAATCAGGTACACAAAAAATATTTTATGAATCACTGGATATCTACTTTATTATTATTTTTTAAAGTTTTTGTGAATTGAGAGAAAGTTTACAGGGCAGATCATCAGTTCTACATTCAATAAATTATACACTTTGTTTCATTACAGTGGTTATAATCCCTTCCATGTACCATCAGTTAACAGTATTTCTATTCATTTCAGCTCTTTTTATAAAACACTCATGTATATATAATAATTTAAACCACCAAAGGACACATTCTACAAGTATGCCTCCTGCCACCACCTCTCAATCCCTCTCTTTCCATGAATCTAGCGTCCTCAGCTGCTCCCCTCTCTCTATGTCCCCATCTCTGTCTTCATCTCTGATGTCGCTGCCTTTCTGGATAGGGTCCTGCATTCCACTTGAGCTTGATAATCCTAGGGTCCTTTGTTTCTGGACTATAAGGTTACTCCCCCATTTTTGTTACAAAACTTCTACCTTTACAATTGTGACAGTCACAAGTAGTCATGATTACAATTACTCAATATTGAATCATAAGAATCTTATCCCCATCTCTTAACCAGACCCATATAGATAAGATGAAAATGATTCAGTGGGGACTGTATCTTCCCCTACACACTCTTAAACTAAATTCGCTCCTGAAACCTTGTAAGCCAGTCACTTTGTGCCTTTATCACCCCCTCATTTTAGGTAGCCAATGTCTAAGTTGCCCATCGCTATCACCCTGTAATATAGAGTGGATAGCATTGATACTTGATGTGAAGACTCCTTCCCTCTCTGTTGGTATTTTTAGCTACTACTAGGTCAAGTTCATCAAATTGTAGCAATTTACCCTCCTTTTTAAAAAAAAAAATTTTTTAAATCTTTTTCTAGTCAGCTTCTGATTATCAAGCTATCGAGACTATGTCAAATGAGTACTATCTGCAAGTTTAGGTGTTCTTGTGCGTCTACCCTCACTTCGTATCGACTGGATGCTTCACTCTCAGCTCTAGCCCTCTGTGGATATGTCCTTGTCCATGGGCTTTGGTGTTTCCAAGTCTCATCACACTTTGTATCAGCCAGCCCTTCCTCTTCACTCTCTCATCTCCAGATCAATGGGAGTCTATGAAACGTGGTTGAACTCAGCCCATTTTTTCATTGCTGCCTTTCCCCCTCTTCCACTCACTAGTAGCCCAATGTGGTCGACAGCAAGCTTACATGCCTGCTTATGTGTTTCTTTTGAGTTTCTGTCTTAGAGGGCACTTTGTTCTGAAGGAACTTGCCTTGATGGCTTCCCAGCAAACAACTTAAAGACACTTTTAAAAATTCATTTTTATATGAGGGAGCTTCAGAAAGTTCATGGAAAAGTCCCATCATTTCATTCCACTTTTCAATGAACTTTTTGAAGCCCTCCTCATATATAGGTAAGAAAACATTTGTTACTTTTTCTACACAAGTGGATATTTTTCTATTCACTAAAACAACAACAACAAAAACACTTGAGAGGCAGAAAGGCGGCCCCACTGCACTGGGATTCAAAGTGAGGAATGTTCTTAGTGTTGTCGAGTTGGTATCGACTCATAGGAGACTTTAAACCAAGCTTGGTGCTTAGGGCTCTGTAGGATAAGCCCTGGATTTTGAACCACAAGGCCAGCAGTTTAAGCCCACCAACTGTTCTATGGGAGAAAGGCTTTCTGCTCCTGCAAAAACTTACAGTCTTGGAAACCCTATTGTTGTTAAGTGCCATTGAGTTGGTTCTGACTCTTAGCAACTCTGTATAGGGTTTACATAGAGCAGCTGGTGAGTTTGAACCACTGACCTTGTGGTTCAAACTGACCTTGTGGTCCAATGCTTTATGCCACAGCACCACACCGGGACCCCTGAAAATCCTATACAGGGCCATGATGAGTCGGAATCAACTTGAAGGCACTTAACAACTGTGACTGGGCTTGGAGGTGTATAGAAGAGTAGTTTTCTGCCCCTAAGATGTTCAAGAGTCCTGGTGTGACAGTGTGGGTTAATGCGCTGCAAGCTCAGTTTGAACTGTAAGGTCGGCAGTTCAAGATCACCAGCCACTACTTGGAAACTCTATACAGGGTGGCTATGAGTCAGAACTAACGCAACTGCACTTAACAACAAGAAGGTATTCAAGGTTTCAGGGCCAGGGATCGTGGAGAGACTCAGCAAAATCATTTCACAACAAAGTAAACCATAGAGGTAGCTGCTGTTTCTGAGATGCAGAGTTCAGATTTGGCCCTGTGTATTCATCACTTCAACGATGATGTGTGGGTGCCAACTCTAAGCCAGGGACTTAGCAACAGCAGTTGGCATTTCTTAGCTTCCATTAGGTGATGAGATGCATAATCCTAATTGCCCAAGCTATACTGGCCCCAAAGATCCCTGGTGGCACAGTGGGTTAGATCTTGGGCTACTAACTGCTTGGCAGTTCAAACCCACCAGCCATTCCTCAGGAGAAAAATGAGGCTGTCTGCTCCAGTAAAGATTTATGGTCTCAAAAACCCTAAGGAGTTCTACTCTGTTCTCTAGGATCGCTATGAGTTTTATACCAGCCCCTGTTCGAAGTGCTTTATCTACCCAATATAATGGAATCCCCACAGCCCTTCTGAGCTTACCTTGTTTGGTATCCTCATGATACCAAGAAGGAAGTAAAAGTGGAGGAAGACCAAGGAGCTTGGCCAAAGCCTCACAGCTAAGGAAGCATCTAAAGTGGATTGAAGGCCATGGTCTCACTCCCTCTCAGTTTATCTCTGGAGGGCCACCCACGTGTCTTCATCCTTGTCCCTTCTTATTACTGTGCACATCACTCTGGCTGTGACTTGTCCAGATGGTGAGTTCACTGAGGGCAAAAGATATATATAGATATAATTTTTTTTTTTCCCCAAAAGAATTATTCCTGATCCAGACAGCCTTCTTCACTTACCACCTCAACCTAGGGCAGACACGTCCTCTGGGCTCTTACAGTATGTGGTGCTTTTCCCAACCCTGACCTCTCTTTCTACTTGTGCTTTCCTTGACCACTCTGGGATGTCACTGTTTGGGGATTGGCCTGTCTCCCCCACTGAACTGGGAGCCCAGTGGGGGCAGGCCAGAGGTTCTCAGTCTCTGTTCTGGCAGCATCACCCAACACAAAGCTGAGCTCAGAAAAAGCACCAGGGAATACTTAGTTCAGAAATAAACCAATGACCCCCACAGTGGATCTTCCTGCCCCATGTTACACACGAGGATACAGAGTCCCAGGTAACTTTGAGTGATTTGTCTAAGCCTTACAACTAGTGAGAAAATAAGCAGGGATTTGAAGTTGGGCAGCTTGAGTCCATATCCTGTGTTCTTATCCAACACGCCAAATGGTTAGTGGGCTGGAACCAGCTTCCCACGAGGTTGATATCTTCCTGCTCTTTTTCCCAGACTTATTCTTCCAGAAAGCCTTGGGTTTGGGCATGGGGGAGGAGGGAAGAGGGAGAGCAGCGGGCTGCTATGAAGATGGGCTGATTTGAAGGTGAGAGTGGGGACATCTTGAGGGGTTTCACTAGACCCCTAGGGGGCAGATGGAGTCAGCTGCTGAAGGTGCGGGGGCGGAGAAAGGGTGGGGACGGGCCCCGCTAGGCGAGATGCAGTAGCTGCAGCGGCCGCAGGAGTTTCCCACAATGCAGCGCGACGCGCTGTCCCCGGTGCTGATGCTCAGCGCTGCCCCGGAGCCTCCGCCGCGCCCACCTCCCGCCCTCTCGCCGCCGGGCCCGGGCCCGGGCCCCCGCCATGGCTCGGCTCGGCCCAGTGTTGCCCCGGAGCCGTCGGGGGGCCTGGGCGCGGCTCTCGACAGCAGCCTGCGGGCTGCCGTGGCGTTCAAGGCGGAGGGCCAGCGCTGTTACCGCGAGAAGAAGTTCCGGGAAGCCATCGGCAAGTACCATCGGGCACTACTACAGCTGAAGGCGGCGCAGGGGGCCCGCCCTGGCGGCCTGCCTGCCCCCGCCCCCGGACCCACTACCAGCCCCGGTCCGGCACGCCTTAGCGAGGAGCAGCGGCGCCTGGTGGAAAACACGGAGGTGGAGTGTTATGACTCTCTCACTGGTACGGGCCGTCGGGCGCTGAGAGGGGGCTGGAGGCAGGGGTGGGAGATCTCAGAACTTCATCAGGGCGGGAGCTTTCAGGGGTAGGAGACCACAGGAGTCTCCTGAAGGAGGGGTCTAGGTGCAACAAATGAACTTTGCCCTGGGTCCTCAGGCCCCACGTCGTCCTCTGAGTCACTCTTTCCTCTCCTTCCACCCGTGAACCTAAGGGGAAAAAAGCCCACCCTGGATGAGCCCTTCAATGCCCTGCGTCCCTCACCTGGGCGCTAAATGCTTGCGGCTACGGAAATTGCCTAGTTAAACGCCGGGGCGCGCTTCCTCGTGTCTCTAGCGCCCTCTGGCGGCGGCGCAGATGGATTCTATTCTGATTGGTCAGCAGATTGGCACCCTCTGCTGGTCTGAGCAATTCCTTGGGTGGGGGTTCCCTGCAGGCTAAGAGCCAGGCTCCCCTAGTTCAGGAAGCGTTTGGGGTGCCGATCGACTCTGAGAGTCCCGGCCGGTGTCCCTGCAGCTTGCCTGCTGCAGTCGGAGCTGGTGAACTATGAGCGCGTGCGTGAATACTGTCTCAAGGTTCTGGAGAAGCAGCAAGGCAACTTCAAGGCCACCTACCGCGCTGGCATTGCCTTCTACCACCTGGGTGACTACCCACGCGCGCTGCGCTACCTGCAGGAGGCCCGCAGCCGGGAGCCCACAGGTGAGGGGTGGGGCCAAGGCAGGACTGAGGGCTGGTTCAAGGCAGGACAAAGAGCAAGGACTATATCTGGAGGGGATAATAATAGTAACTTTATGACATAGGTTAAGAGTTAAAGGAAATACTGGTAAGACTAATGTATTTCAAACACGATGTTAAGTGCAGTCGAGTCGGATTCGACTCATAACGACCCTGTGCAGGGTTTTCCAGGAGCAGCTGGTGGGTTCAAACTGACCTTATCCAGTGTTTATCCTATAGTGCCATACCAGAACTCCAAAGCAGGTACTTTAACAAAGTACCTGGGGTGTGGGTGGAGTGTGGGTATCAGGGCAGGGAAACAACCCTCCTGACACAGAACTGTCTCCAGAAAATGCCCTGCCACCCACCCAACTTCCTTTCTCATTCACCCACTCCCTACACATCATGGTCTCACCATCCATCTATCATTCCACCAGTCCACTCACCAGCATTCTCCTAAGGCGACGCAGCCTCGATGCCTAGCCCTCACCTACCCAGTCCAGCCTGCCTCTTCTCCATTCACACACTCCCTCACTGGCCCATCCACACAACTGCCTGCTCTCTCACACGTGTGCCCAGACACCTCTGGACAGCACTTGTTGATGGCAGACCCTAGGGAGGCAAAGCCAGGGATTTGGGGCTGGGGTGGCAGCAGAGTCTGTTCCCGCCCTCTGGGAGATCGCAGGCAGTGTGTGCATGCGTGTTAAGTCTGTACGAGTGCTGGCAGGCAGAGGCAACGCTCAGTGTTTGTAGGAGCAAAAATGCAGGGTGTTTTCCTTGCAGTGGATTACAGAGCATAGGTTCTTGCAGATGTCAATGGAGGGTGAGTGGACGTGTGACAAGAAGCTAGAGGAGGCTTTGCTGGCCAGGGCAGAGCAAGGGCACAGGCACAAAGTGTGGGGCATCGCCGTTCTGCTTGCAGTGCCTCGTGCTTTGGGGCCAGCAAGGACACTGGCCAGTTTGGCAGTGCTGGGCATTCTGTGCAGGGAGAACAGGTGGGAGGTTGTCAGTCAGGTGGAGGGAAGGCTCTGGGAACCACTGAAGACTGGGGACAATGAGGTGAGCCCAGATGTGCAGATGTCACCCTTCCCTGCAGACACCAACGTCCTGCGCTACATCCAGCTGACGCAGCTGAAGATGAACCGGTGCAGCCTCCAGCGGGAAGACAGTGGGGCCGGGGCCGGGGCCGGGGCCCGGTCTCGGGATGTCATTGGCTGAGGCCACCCCTGGGGAAAGGTTCCCTATTCCCACTTACCCACCTTGCTATGTAACTGCCCCCTGACTCATGTGCTCTGTGGTAAAACACTTGTCACTGGTGACCATACCTTTTTGTGTACTGTTCTTGTGGGAACCAAAGAAGGGGACATGGACTAGGCCTCCGTCACTCAAGGAGAGTGGGGCAGGGGAGGCCTGCTGGGAATGACTCTGCTTTCGGGATAGACACACAGCCAAGTGCAGTTGGGGGCAGGGGTCACCTTTAATGCTGCATTTTGTGCCAAATTGCCATGATGCCCTGTCCCTGAGTATCCTTGTCCACCCCCCACCCCCCACTGCAGATACAAAGGAATAAATTAAGTGGTCCCCTTTCCCTCTTCCCCAATAAATAGAGTGAGTATCCTGCCCAGGGCCTCCCCCACCTTGGGGCATGGTGGGCTGGGGCGGGGCCTGGGGCACTACATTCATGGCTGCCCACTCGGTCGGGCATGGTGGGCAGGCCTCAGTGGGAGCCGTGAACCCCGCACAGGGGCACAGTCTTGTCCTGGCTCTGTCCCTCCATGTCCATGTCCAGCAGGATGGGCTGCAGGCTGGGGGGCCCGGGGCTCTCTGGAGTGTCTGGCCTGCTGGGAGGTGAGATGCTGAACGTGCGGCCAAAGGAGACCAGTTTCCAGGGGTCCAGACGGGGGCGGCTGGCAGCTGGCCGGGGACGTGGGGCAAAGGTCAGGGTGGTGGGGCGGCCTGGGAAGTCTGGGGGCCGGCGGCGGGCTGGGAACAAGGCTTGGGGGTCGGGCAGGCGGGGGAACTCCAGGGGGTCTCGAGGACCTGGGGAAAGAGAATCAGATGAGGTCAGTAAGGTGGGCAGAGGGTGCGTGGCATGAAGAACAGGATTTGGGGCTTCTTTGGGAAGACCTGCTGAGTGAGCTAGGCCGGCTTTGCAGCCCATAAGTGGAGCCGTGGTGGGGCCTCTAGCTAAGACCCAAGCACACCAAGGGTGAATTCTTTAACCTTTCCAGAGCCTGCTGTCTTGTTACCCCTTTAGCCGAATGTCTCATCACTCCTAACTGCCCTACACAGGGCTAGCTCTCTCATACACACACACACACACACCTACAATCCTAGGCATCTCTGGGTGGACCTTCTCCATTAGCAGTTGAACATGGTCACCATTTGCACCACCCAGGTACTTCACCGTCACCGTAGCTACCATGGAACACCCTTGCTGTGAAGCAGATGATGGCGGTAAGATTTAGTAAGTGTCTGTGATAGGAGTCCACTGAAGGGCGGCTAACTGCAAGGTCAGCACTTTAAACCCACCAGCAGCTCTGAGACAAAGATGAGGCTTTGGCTTCCGTGTAAATAAGTGCAGTCTTGGAAACCCTATACGGGCCACTGTGATCAGAATCGGCTGAATGGCAGTGGGTTTTTATCAAGCACTGAAGGAGCCCTTCTGGCTTTGTGGGTTCAGCATCAGGCTGCTAACCACAAGGTCAGAAGTTCACACCCACCAGCCACCCCGAGGAAGAAAGATGAGGCTTTCTGCTCCCACAAAGATTAACAGCCTCGGAAACCCTATACAGAATCACTATGAGTTGGAACTGATTCAAGAACACTTTAACAACATACGTGCTGCTGTTGTGGTGAAGTGCCCTTGAGTTGCTTCTGACTCACAGCGATCATGTATAGGGTTTCTAAGGAGCATTTGGTTGGTTTGAACCACTGACCTTGCAGTTAGCAATCCAATGCTTATCCTACAGTGCCACACCAGGATAAGGTAGACCATGTTGTTGTTGTTTAGTGCTATTGAAACTCAGATATGTTTTAGGCATGGCATTGGCTCTGAAGGGGACTGATGGTAAACCTTACTACAAAGGTAAAGACTGAGTCCATTTCGACTCAATCAAGGGACCCTATAGATGTAGAACTGCTCCCGAGGGCTTCCGAGGATGTATGGTATCCACCATCAGCATCTCTGTGGTTGTTAGAGGTGAATACAGACAACAGCGCCTGGCACAACATGGGTGTTTGTTACATGGTAGCTACAGTGACGACCTTGAGTGGTGTACATGGGGAACGGGATCAGCTGCCAGTGGAACGCTGTAGGTTAATGTCTATCCAGTGGCGCCTAGGAAGGTCTGGTAATTTACTTTCAAAAAATTAGCTCTCGAAAACCCTGTGGGGCCTAGTTCTCCCCTGACACACATGGGGTTGCCCTGAGCCCCACCCCACAGCAACTGATCTCCGACTACGTTGTTGTCACTGTCACCAGTGGGCCCTCTGTAGACATTAGTGTTAGTCACCATGTGTCTCATCACCCGCCGACCCACAGTAACTCCCTTTCCCTTGGTATCAGGTACCTAGCGGTTAAGTTTGAACGCAGGACCTGGTGGGGGTGTCTCACTCACCAGGGCCGGGGCCCACAGCCTCAGGTGCCCCCCGCTGTCCCAGCGCCCCGTCAGAGGGTGTCCGCCGGTGTCCACGGCTCACGGAATGCGCAGCCGTGATGTGGGTGGGCGTGAGCGACTGGCGGGGGTCCTTCTTGAAGCTCTCCAGTTCCAGGTCCACCAGGGGGTTGCTGTTGGGCGAGGGTGTGGGTGCCAGGGGAGAGGGTGGCGGGGAGGGTGCGGCTGGTGTGGCCTCGTCACTGTCCGAGCGCAGCAGCGATCGTGTGGAGTTGCAGTCGGACACGGATGACAGCGACACAAGGGTGGCCGAGGGCACAAGACCTGGGCCAGGAGCCGTGTCGTCGCGGCGGCCCGAGGGACGCCCGGGAGAGCTGAGGCCTCGTGGGAAGCGGCCGGCACGGGGGAAGAGGCCATCGAGCCAGCGGCGATGTTCCTCAGAGTCTACAGCGCGCGCGTCCGCCACGTCGGCGCCCAGGCCCACGGCGCCCAGCAGCGTGGCGCAGCCCAGCAGGGCCAGTTCGCAGCGCCGTCGTGCGCCGGGCCCGGAGCGGGCCGGAGGTGTGGTGCCCGGGGAGGGCTCGGCGGGCAGCGGCACCGAGAGTTGGGACGGGGTGGTGTAGGGGGAGGGGGACACGCTGCTGCCCCCATCCGCCTCGGCGAACTCCTCTGCAACCGGGAGAGGGGTTACTCGACTTTGGCCTTGGCCCTGGCTCAGCGGACGCCCACAATTCCTCCAACAGCCACTCCACCATGTCCCACTGTGTACCATCCTTAGATCTTCCTACTCCCAAAGCTCTAGAAAGGCCCCTCTTCCCTTGGGAATGACTCCCTCACCCCAAGAATGTCTAGGAAACCCCGGCTGCGCCCTTCCATAGAAGCCCCCTGGAATGGCTCACTCCTCTGGCCAGGGGACATCCCCTCCCTTTAACAGGCCCCTTGACCCCCTTACCCATCTCGTTGAGGCTGGCGAAGCCAGGGGCAATGGGTGTGTGTTTGGGGGACTTGCCCAGGTTGGGGGCGCTCGATGACCACTGTTTGCAGCCTTCCCCCAGCGTCTTCAGCCTGCAGGAAGCACGGGAGACATGGGGGCGGGTGCCCTGGGCCTGGGGGGGGGAAGGGGGGGCACGGGTGCAAGGGTGGGTGACTCTGTATAGTTGCCAATACCTCTCCTCTCCACCAATCCGCTCCTTCTGCAGCGTGGAGCTGGGGCCCCATGTCCGGCCCTTCTTCTTGCCACCAACCAGTTCTTCCTTCTTTGGAGGCCCACTGCGGCCCCAGGTCCCACCGCCACCACCACCATCTACAGGAGTCACTGGGCAGAGAAAGGCCACTTGGTTACTGGTTTGGGAGAGTCAGCCTCACCTGGGTTCCCCGCTCCCTTAGGGAGCCTCTGAAGCTTCTTTCTAACTCTCATCATGTCCCTGCCTTGCTATCAACCTTTCCTGCAGGAGCCCTCGCTGTGGTCATGGCAAAGGTCCAGCTCCTCAGCCTGGCACTCGGGCCCTTTGGGAACGACTCCATGCCAGTTTCCTTCACCTCGTCTCTCATCGCTCCTCAGCCTAACTTCGAGCGTTCATTTATCCCAAATGTTGACTGAGTGTCCAGGTGCTGAGCACACAGTGAATGAAACAGATGGATCCTACCCTTGTGGAGTTTTTAGCTTAGTGAGTGGGGGCAGACAATAAGGAGCCCTTGTGGCTCTGTGGGGTAGGCACTGGGTTGCTAACTGCAAGGGCAGTGGTTCAAAGCCACCAGCTGCTCCACAGGAGAAAGATGAGGCTCTTGTTCCAGAAAGACTGACAGTTCCAGAAACCCTGTGAAGCATTTTGAATCTGTCCTAGAAGGTTGCTGTGAATCACAACAGACTCAATGGCAGTGGCTTTGACTGGAGATGGACAATAAACACTAGTCCTACCGAGAAGTAGGAGCACATGCTGTGGAAATCCCAGAGTGGGGTCAAGGGTCTGGGGCATCAGGGAAGACCGTACTCTGGATGGAGAAGGCCACCTTGGAGGTGAGGGAGAAAGCCAAGTAGATAATGAGGGAAAGGACATTTCAGGCGGAGGGACCAGCAAGTGCTGAGGCCTATGGCTGGGTGTTCCTGGAACAGCTGGTAAGGAGGGGAGGCGAGGGCTCTGGCAGGCTGGCTGCTGACTCTCTGGCAGGAGCTTGTACACCTACCTCCAAGCCTTTTGCACACACTGTTCCCTTCCCTTGGAATTCTGTTCCTTCAGTCCCTTTCCCGGCCTGGCTGACAGCTTGCCCTTGAGCCTCCAGCTCTGGCCTAGGGTGGTCCCTGGAATTTGGCTGCTCTTGCTTCCCTAGTCCTACCACACCGAGCACAAACCCACAACTGCCACTGAGGCCATGCCGACTCCCAGCGAGCCTACAGGACAGAGGGGAACTGCAATGTCTCCTAGGGTTTTCGAGGCTCTAAATCTCTGCGGGAGCAGACAGCCTCAAGTTTCTTCTTTGGAGTGGCTAGTGGATTTGAACCACCGTCCTTAACAGTTAGCAGCCCAATGCTTAACCCATTGCACCACTAGGGTTCCTTACCCTGATAATCCAAACTGCCGTTAAGTCGATTCCCACTCATACCGACCTTGTATTTATATGGGTTTCTGAGGCTGTAAAACTTCTCTAAGGAGGAGAACATTTCATCTTTCGGAATGGCTAGTGGGTTTGAACCACCGACCTCATGGTTAGTGGTCTGATGCTTACCCTGTAGCACTACTAAACCTCTGTATACTGACAGCGGTTGTTATTAGGTGCTGTGGAGTCAGTTCTGACTCATAGCGACCCTGTGTAGGGTTTCCGAGAGCAGCTGGTGGGTTTGAACTGCCAACCTTGAGGTTAGTGGTCCAGTGCTGATTCTACAGTGCCAGTCCATCACCAAACCCCAGGACCTTTTCCTCTGCATGAAGCCCCCTGTGGCTCCCTCCTCCACACCTCCTCTAAGTCCAGAAACCATCAGTTCACAGACTCTCTGCTTTTGCTGCTCTCCTTCAACCCAAACCCCTCCCAGCAGCCAGAGGAAAGGGCATTTTACCACTTTGCTGTCCTGCTCGGAGTCCAGGAGGTTCTCCCCACTGTTTAGAATGAAACCCAAACTCCCCACTCTGCCTGCCTCTCCCTCTCATTCACTCTGCGTCAGCCAAGCTGCCCTTTCTGGCCACACACAGGCCTCATTTATTCCCATCTCGGGGCCTTTGCCTGTGTTGTTCCTTCTGCCAAGCACACTGTTCCCTCAGCTCTCACCTGTCCAGCTCCTTACTGTGTAGATCCTCTGTTCCAAGTTCAATTCCTTGGAGAGGCCTAAACAGTAAGCCTTCCTGTACAGTGCTGGCTACGCTACTGCCTGCGGCCTGATTTGTTTACTTGTTTATTGCCTGCCTTCCCTGATGAGAATGGGGAGGGACCATGCTTTCACATTCCACATATGCTCGCTGAGAGGCATGTACGTACGTTCGTACATACTCAGAGACATTTGCTGACTAGTGGGTTGAGGGGCTGGGGGACACTCACAGCGAATAGCCCTCAGCCGGGGGATGATGCTGGGGCTGGCAGGGGGGCTGGCTCCATCGGATCCTTTCCGCTTGTCTAGTGTTGGCGAGGCCTGGACTGTGATCTTATGTTCAAAGCCTGCACAAAGGAAGGGAGAGTTTCTGAAGCACACCATTCCCCACGGGGGAACCAAAGACAAGTGCCCTTCGTAGAGGTCTAGAAGGAATGATAGGGTGGAACACACCCATTCTGCATTCCTTCCAGTGTTTCCATGCCAATGTGTGGTCCTCAGACCAACGGTGACGACAAATAGAAACCTGTTGGAAATGCCAATTCTTGAGCCCAGGATGTCAGCATACTCAGGAGGTGAATGTTCCCAAGTCCTACCCCACAAGGGTGATGTTCAAGTCTGAGAAACCCTCCCTGATGAACTGTAAGATCTAGGACTGATGGTCCATCACTGGGCCACTGGTCACTCACGGCTGGTGCAACCAGGGAATGAGACGTTTTCAATTCCAACATTAATTGAAATTGAAATTGAAAATGGATACTCTGGTTATCCAAGGCATTTGGAATAGCTTGGGTCACCATGGGGTTTGGAAGAGCGTGGACATGTGGATCGAGTGTTAGATTTCCTAGTAGCCATGTTAAGAAACAGTCCACTTTCAGACTGTATTTTTGATACAAGTTTAGTACCTAGATTGTGATGTGCTGTAAGTGGAGGATACACATCGGATGTCAAAGATTTCGTCTGAGAAACAATGAAGGTAGAAGGACTCATTAATCATTTTTTGTATTGATTTACATGTGAAATGGGAACATTTTGGGTATATTGGGTTAAATCAGATACAATCTTACACTGGAACTCCCCGGTTTTCTTGACGTGGTTACTAGGAGATTTACACTCCTACAGTGGCCTGTATTGTATTTCTATCAGACCCCCAGCATAATGTCTTAAGAGCATTACAGAGCTACAGAGCGGGCCCCTCAGACATGGGTGTCTCCCAATGGGTGAATAGGAGCTCTGATAGCTCCGGGGGTTCAGCCTTGGTTTGCTAAGCACAAGGTCAGCAGTTCAAGCCCACCAGCTGCTCTGTGAAAGAAAGATGATGCTGTCTGCATGCATAAAGATTTAGTCTCAGAAACCCTAGGGGGTACGACTCTGTCCTATAGGGTTACGATGTGTTGGAACCAACCGATGGCAGTGGGTTAGTTTGTTAATTTGGGGGGGATGGATGTACACCCTGCCATTTAAGATGCAGCCTTTCTTTTAAAAAAAAAAAAATTTTTTTTTTTTTTTAAATCTGAGAACTGGAACTCTATTAAGTCTTGAAATACAAACTGCTAGGCTGATCTATGAGTAACTGCTACTTTGATATGTCAAAAATGGTTGAATATCAGCAATTTCACATTGCGTTGGGCTGCTAACCGCAAGGTCAGCAGTTTGAATCCACCAGGGCTTCCTTGGAAGAAAGATGAGGCTATTTGCTCCCGTAAAGGTTTACAGCCTCAGAACCCTATACAGGGTCACTATGAGTCAGAACCGACTTGACAGTATGCCACCATCAAGGTGACAAATGCTGTTCGCAGCAGAGGACACAGCTTGTGCAGTGACCTGGAGGCACGAGAGACTGGTGTGTTGAGTAGTTCGGTGGCTGGGGAGGGTTGTTAGGATGAGGTGATTTCGACTCCTAATGGCCCCGTGTGACACAGTAGAACTGCCCCAGAGGGTATCCCAAGCTGCAATCTTTAGGGGGGTCCCGGTGTGGCACTGTAAAATAAGCACTCGACTGATAATTGCAAGGTTGGAGGTCCAAACCCATCAATTGCTCCTCAGAAACCCTATACAGCAGGAATGGGGAAACTTCCTTCTGTCAAAACTTAGAACAGCATTTGCTGACCGTACAAAATTATCCAATTAGAAATTAGCCTGCTATATTTGGTCAAACATTTAATTAATGCATTCCTTAATGTGCTGGACTACAGTCAGTTTGAATCATTAGGTCGGTGGTTCAAGCTCACCAGTCGCTCCTTGGAAACCCTATACAGGGTCGCTATGGGTTGGAAGCGACTCTATGGCACTTAACAACAACAATGTGTTGGCTGGAACTGCAGTTGCCTTGGCAGGGCCAGACAGAGTGATTTTGTGGGCTTTCCATGCCCCTCGGGCCAGAGGTTCCCCACCCCTGATATACAGACTCAGAACCAACTCTACGGCACACCACCACCATGCTCATACTGGCGTCCCTGGTGCTGCAAATGGTGAATGTGTTCAGCTGTTAAACAAAAAGATAGAGGTCCGAATCCACCCAGAGACACCTTGGAAGAAGGGTCAGGCAGTCTGATGCCTTATAGCCATGAAAATCCTGTGGGGAAAAGAAAAAAAAAACAAGACAAACCCGATGGGGTGCAGTTCTCTGACACACGAGGCTGTCGTGGGTTTGACTCAAGTCGATGGCAACTGGTTTTAAGCTAATACCAACTTCTAGGGAATCCAGGGGACAGAGAGGCAAGTTAAATGATACTAAGGTACTAAGGAGCTCTGGTAGCGTAGTGGTTACGAATCGGGCTGCAAACTGCAAGGTCAGCAGTTCGAAACTATCAGCTGCTCCGCGGGAGAAAGATGAGGCTTTCTGCTCCTGTAAAGAGTTACAGCCTCAGAAACCCTGTACAGGGTCGCTATGGGTCAGAACCGACTCAACGGCACTTAGCAACAATAATGGTATTATGGTGTGGCGTGGCAAGATAATACACTGGACTGCAAGGTTGGCTTGGACCACAAGGTCAGCGGTTCAAACTTACTAGCCATTCCTTGGAAACCCTATACAGGGTTGCTATGGAACCAATTTAACTGCACTTAATGAATTATATCCCCACCCCACCCCCCAAATAGGTGTTATAAATGTTAACACCTATTTGTTCTTGTGAAGTGTCATCGAGCTGGTTGTATAGGGTTTATAGGTTGTACAGAGTGCGTGTATAGTGTTTCTGAGGAGCAGGTAGTGAGTTTGAACTGTCGACCTTACAGTTCAAACTGACCTTATGGTTAAGTTCTTATACAACGCCACACCAGGACTCCACTAACACCTATACTGGTGCTTGTATAATCCTAACTGGGGATGGATATTCTTTGTTATGTTTATAAGGCAGGATTAGTGTAGAGCAGGTAGAGCAAGCACAGATGGGGAAGACAGATGCCAAGGAACCAAGAAAAGAAGCTGAAAAATGACGAGAACCTTCCTCCAGAGCCGACAGAAAAGAGAAAGCTGCGCCTCAGAGCGGGACTTCTGGTCTCCTAAACTGAGGGACCGCATTCCCATGTGTTAAAGCCCAGCCACTTGTGGTATTTCTGTTACGAACTAAAAGGCATACTGAAATGGGAGCAGCAAAATCCAGCCTCTGGTACGCAATGGGACAAGCAGTCTTTCCTCAACAAATTACTAGCAAGAAAAAGGAAGGCAAAAAAGTTGGGTGATAAAAGTGTAAGGAAATGCAAAAAAGTAATTATCCTAAAGGTCAACATATGGGATGGGGTGGGCAGTGTTTGGTAAGGGGGCACATGGAGGACAACTAGGAGTAAGTCGCAAGGTACTGTCTGCTTCCAGGGTGGTGAGCGTAAGAATTCATTAAGTTGTTCATCTTGGGGGGTTGTTTCTGAATCTGAAATAGATTTGGCGATAAGAAAGTAAGTCACCAAATCCATGGAAGAAAGATACCCTGGGATGGGATACTCCCGGTGACTCAGGGGAAGGGGGTGATCGAGGGTGTGGGTTGGGTGGTACCGGAGGGCAGGCTGATGTGGCTGCTGCCTTCCCGAAGCTTGAGCAGGCGGCTGCGTTTGAAGTTGCCCTTGCGCTTGTGGACCCTGGGTTTCTCCTGGCTCAGCTGACACATGAGCAGGTGTAACTCTCGCTCCACGATGTCCATCTCGCGCTCGGCCAGCTCCTGCTCCCGCCGCCGCAGCTGCTCCTCTTGGCAACGCTGTTCCTGCGCTGCCCGCAGCAGCTCCTCCTCTCGGCTCCGGAGCTCCTGAAGAGAAGAAGCAGGATGGGATGGGAGAGTAGGCCCGCGCTTCCTGAGGTAAGGCAAGCATGGGTCCAAGTCCAGCCCACATCTCGCTAGCCAAGTCAGGTGTCAGGGCAGGGGGCTATGTTAGTTCTGAAGAAAGGGGTTCGTTCCTTTTCTTTTGTTCACCTTTTATTGGAAAAAAAAAAAAAAAGTAACTCTTCATTTAAGAAAACCTCAAACTAGAGAGACTAGTGAGTCCCCATGTACTTATCATCCAACTTCAACAATTATTTCTACACCTTGCAAATTGTTTCATTGCTCCCCTTTCTTTCCTTCATTTCTGCTGATATTTCAAAGCCAATCCCAGCTATCACCTGTAAGTACTTCAGTGCAGGGTGCATTTTCTGACTAATCCAGCAGGAGGTTGCAGTTTCCTAATAACAGAATCATTGGGCTTGTGTGGACTCTGACCTTCCCTAGGCACCAGAACTCAGGAATCTTGCTTCCTCCCTCCCACCTGGCCCCTTGCTCTCACCTTCTCCTTGGTCCGGAGGTCATCAAACATGTGCTGAATCTCCAGCTTCCAGTCTTCTTGCAGAGAGTGGAAGGACTCTAGGGGCATCTGAAACAGGGCTGACTGTTCGGTGACTTCCAGCCTCTTCAAGATGCTGCCAAAGTCTGGCCGCCCATGGGGGTCTGGGTCCCAGCATTCTGGGGACAGGGGTAGACAGTGGTAGGGATTTGAGTTATTAGAGACCAGAATCTAGATAGGAATCAGCCTGCTCAGTGGAAGACAAAACCTCAGGGAAATGTGGACAGTTTGCTTCCATGGAGCTGGGGGAAGGACTCAAAGCCAGGTCCTGGCAATATTATTTCACTCAGTGGAGAGAAACCCACGGGCCTGCTCCCTAGGAGGGGCTGGTGGGAGGTTGCAGGGTGGACCCTAAGGCCAATGATTGCTCATGGGTTGCCCTCAAGAGTGGTGAGCTTTGCCCGAACAGTGGTCTGGGTCAGGGGGGCACAGGGTCAACTGTGGAGGAGACTCTTGGTGGTCTGATGGGTTCCAGGCCCTTCTCCCTCTTTCCTGGGGTCACGGGTATGGCTGGTGTACAGATATGAGGTCTAGGCCTGAGGACCCCTGCCACCCCAAGCTGAGCCTACCCTCTCCATGGGGCCCTGGCTCACCCTCCAGTAGGCGGGCAAAGGGCTCGGGGCATGTGGAGGGGATGGGCAGCGTCAGCTTGTTCATAGCTACGCCATATGCCACGGCCAAGGCGTCGATTTCGCGGTAGGGGACCTCACCCGTCAGCAGCTCCCAGAGCAGAACTCCGAAGCTGCAGGGGGGGGAAGAGGGAGGGTGATACACAGCCTACTCCAATCCTCACCTACACTCCAGTCATGTCCCCTCCCACAGCAGGCCTCCCTCACCCCAAACCCACCCCTGGTAGACGTGGCTCTCCCCTCACCCCTGCCTGAAAATCTTTAGTTAGTCCCTGCCTGAACACCTTTAGTTAGTGCCCTGTGCTTACCGGGCAAACCCTCCCTGCTGCCCTTGCTTAGCCCTGACCTTGATGCCTGCAGCTTGTCTTCTAAACACTCTTGCCTCCACTCCAAACCACCCACCCATCCACCGACCCCCACTCTGTCTTGTGGGCACACCGAACAACTAAAGCAGCCTTATCCTTCATAACCTCTGGTGTCTGCACATGCCACCCCTTTGTCTAGAACACTTTCCTTTGGGTAACTGTCCTTCTAGTCTCAGCTCAGATGCCTCCCTCTGCCAGCAAGTCTTCCTCAATTCCACAGCCTCCAAAGTTGGGTCAGGGGCCCCTCTCTTCTGTGTTTCCTGCTGCTTGTGCATCAAAAACATGTTAATGCTATTAACGTTTATGAAGTGCTTGGTCCTCAGAGCCCGTGAGGCAGAAGGCAGTGTTACTGTATGGGCCAGTTGTGGCTGACGAGCAGGGGGTCAGCTCAGCTGCTTGCTTAAGGTCATACATACAGCCATGTTTGGAGTAACGGTCTATCTGACACCCAGGACAGAGCCCTTACAAGGCTACGCAACATCAGCACGTTAATCACCGTGTTACTATCCCTGTGTCAGACTTCCCCAGCAAACTGTGCATCCTTTCATCTCCAGTTCACCATTCTATGTGGTGCCCAACATGATTCCTGTGCTCCTCCAATATCTACTCATTTATTCATTCAACATATATGTCCTAAGCAGTTATCGTGTGCCAGGCACCGTGCCAGGTTCTGGGGATATGGTAGTGACCCAGATGAGCACCAATCCTGCCCTTAGGTAGTGTCCACTCTTCCTCTTTTCCCTCAGTAACAGCCACTACTTGGACATTTTCTCGCCTCCTTGCAGTTAGGTGTGGTCATTGACTACAGTCTGGCCAGCAGGATGGAGGAGGTGTAGGGTTCACCTAATGTCTAGGAAATGTCCTTAAAGACAAGAAGCGCTCTTTCCTACTGGTTGGAATCTGGACACAAAAGCTGGCACTCAAGTCACCATTCTGGATCGTGAACTTGGGAGTTGAGGCCACACGGGGTCGGGGAGAGGAGGTGATTTTCTCTTGGAGGTGGCATGTCCTCCACCACCTCTCCATGTCCCTGTAACTATGGGACATTCTATGACTGGGGAGCCATGGACAATGCATGTGTGGAGAAGCACAGGACAGAACCCCACGAGGAAGCATTATCCTGCCCAAAGGCAACCACACCCCCAAGGAAGAACCCTGACTGAAAGGAGCCCCAATCCCTGATGCCAGTTCTGGACTTCACGTGAGAGAGAAAAAAATGGCCAGTCTTGTTCATATTTGGGGTTTCTGTTCCTCGCAGCTGAAATACTGTTTGGCACCATAAATGGATGCTTGTTGGAAAGCTGGTCAGAACTTCTCCCAGTGGGGTATTCCACTCTAGGATGGGCTGCAACTTCCTGTCAGATGTACCCCTATCCCAAACCCATTTGTTTGCTGCTTGGTCTCCCTCTGGAGCCTCAGGAACAGTAAGTGAGGAGACCTGGGTTTGGCTTCAACCAAATAGGTGGCTCCAAGATGGGGTTCTCACCGCCACCATCAACAACAGCTTCCTTATGTCCGTCCACCCACTGCCTCTCCTGTCCCCTCCAATTCATTCTCCAACCCCAGTGGAGGGAGATTCAGGTGGTGCCACTGGGGGCTGGCTTTCCACTGCGCTGCCTACAAAGCCCTCCACCTCTCCAACATCATTTCCTCTGCTCTCCTGCTTGGTGGCGCTGCTCTAGTGACATGGCTTCCTTTGCTGTTTCTGGAACACACCATGCTTGTTCCTCAGTCAAGGCCGTGGTGGTAGCTGATCTCTGACTGGGAGGCATCTTCCCCCACAGTCTGCATGGCTAGCTCCTTTCCACTCACAACTCAGCTAGGAAGGATCGCTCCCAGAAGAGCTTTCCTGGTCCACCCACCACCAAGTAGCCAGCAGCTCCTCTCCAAAGGTGTATTTGCCTTTTTTCTTTACAAATTCTGATTTTCTTAAAGAAAAGGCTATTTTCAGCTGTTTGTGATGAATACTTACTATCCTTGAAGGCAGGGAGCATGTCTATTTTTGTTCACTACTGCCACCCCAGACCACAGCACAGGTGGTGGGATGGATGAATGAATGGTGGCCTCCTTTTCATGGTTCAGCAAATGAGGGGGCATGACCTGAATGGTCTTGGAGGAGCCTTTCATCCTATCTCACTCTCTTCGGAATTTTTCCTTTCCTTCTAGGAGTCCTGGTGTAACACTGTAGGATAAGCGCTTGACCTCAAGGTCGGTTTGAACTGCAGGGTCGTCGGTTCAAACCCACCAACCACTCCTTGGAAACCCTATACGGGTCGCTATGAGTCAGGACTGGCTCAACGGCACTTAACAATGAGAAGTTGCCCCTCAGTTACCAATTCCAGGAGCAGAGCAGGTGACTGCTTTGGCCTTTGCCTGCTGGTGACCTCAGGCTACCGGGCTCCTGGCTGCGGTAAGACCCCCCTCCACACCTTTGGTTCTTGCCCCCTCTGCCCTCCACCCCCGGCCCATCTCTCAGCACCTCCACACGTCACTGCTTTTGGAGAAGAGGGAGAGACGGATAACCTCCGGTGCCATCCAGGCGTACGTCCCTGCGGCGCTCATTTTGGTGGTCTTGTGCCACTCGCGGGCAAGGCCGAAGTCCGTGATCTTGAGCACCGTGTCAGCAAGGTTGTGGTTCTCGATGGCCTCCAGAATAAGGACTGTGGACAGAGGAACAGGTGGGTCACCCCTGACCTGAGTGTGTCCACATCCCCAACTCTGCGTCACCTACTTTCCTGATCCAAAACTTGTCTTGTCTTTCCACACGTTCCCCCTGCTCTCCTGATTCCAATGTGTGCTCCACTGAGCTCAGTGAAAAGCCTCGGCCTTGAATTCCCAGCCACCCCAAAAGCGGGACCTGCAGACCATGAGGGATGAGCATGGCCTCATTTCATCTCCATCCCCCCAAACCTTTCCTCCTTCCTGGGCCCATGTTGTTTGCTATCTGATGACAGCACTTCACATGGAAGGGCAGAGTGCTCTCCCCATTCCCTGACACTGGGGTCACCACGTGACTTGCTTGGACCAACGAATGAGGTGGAAGTGACCGAGGACCTGTTCTGAGCCCAGGCCTCAGGAGACCTCGCTTGCTTGTCCTCTTGAGTTCCTGCCAGCATCGAGAACCTGCCTTGGGTAGTTCACCGGCCCCAGCAAGTGGAGCATCACAGTGCAGCGCCTCCTCAGCTGAGCCTGGCCTAAATCCATTTACCTGCCAGGCAATCTGCAAACATATGAGCTGTCTGAAGTCACGGAGCTTTCGGGCTGGTTAGTTACATGGCATTTTTGTGATAAAACCTGACTGCTACACCGTGAAACATACTAAATGATTCCAGTTTATCTGCTGCTTAGAGTTATTATCAGAGTCCTGGTGTGGCACTGTAGGATAAGCACGGGGCTGTGAACTGCAAGGTCAGTGGTTCAAACCCACCAGCCACTGCTTGAAAACCCTATACAGGGTTGCTGTGAGTTGAAACCGACTCAACAGCACTTAACAAGAACAGCAGCAGTGTCGTTACTAACAGTGGTAATAATCGTAGCTTACTGGACTGCTAAACCACAAGGTCGTGGTTCAAACCCAGCAGCCCCTCCTCCAGAGAAAGATGAGACTTTGTGCCCCTGTAAACAGTTACAGTCTCGGACACACTGGGTATGGTCACTAGCAGTTAGAATCAAGCGATGTCAGCAGGTTTGGTTTTGGGTAAGGTTAATCAGGGACCTGGTGTGGCGCTGTAGGACACGCACTGGAACGCTAACTGCAAGATTAGTGATTCAAATCCACAAGCCACTCCCTGGAAGCCCTATACAGGGTCACTGTGAGTCAGAACCAATTCAAGGGCACTTAACAAAGACAACATCATAAGTTGCTGTTGTTGTTAAGTGCCATAGAGTTGATTCCGACCCATCGCGACCCTGTATAGGGTTTCTGAGGAGCAGCTGGTGAGCTTGAACTGCTGACCTTGCAGTTCAAATGGCCTTGCAGTCTGGCGCATTAACCCACAGCGCCACACCAGGACTTGGCTAAATCCTTTATGGAATCCCTGGTGGTACAAACAATTAAGGCACTTGGCTGCTAACAAAAAAGGTTGGACGTTTAAGCCAATCTCCCAGAGATGCCTTGGAACAAAGATCCGGTGATCCCCTTCAGAAAAAGCAGCCACCGACAACCCTAAGGACACGTATGTTATAGTCTGACACACATGAAGTCGCCATGAGCTGACAGGACAGTAATTGGTTAAATTAGTTCGTAAGCAACTCATTTCATTGATTAGGAGAAGGAAGCTCAGAGAGATAAAGACATTTGGCCAAGATCACACAGCTAGAAAATGGGTGGGGTCAAGACTTGGACTTGACACCATGTTACCCACCCTTGTGAGTACAGAGTACTGCCTGCATTTGGAACCCGGCGTGGCCACGTATTAGCTGCACACCCTTGCATCCTTCTTCACACAAAACACTCTCTTCTGTTGTTGTTGTTGTTAAGTGCCGTCGAGTCGATTCCGACCCATAGAGACCCTGTACAGGGTTTCCAAGGGTGTAAATCTTTACAGGAGTAGAAAGCCTCATCTTTCTTCCGCGGAGTGGCTGGTAATTTCAAACTGCTGACCTTAAGGTTCACAGCCCGATTCGTAACCACTACGCTACCAGAGCTCTTCTGTTAACTGAGGATAATGTTGTTGTTAGGCACCAGCAAGTCGGTTCTGACTCATAGCAACCCTGTATAGGGTTTGACATGTCAACCCTGTGGTTCACAATCCAGTGTTAATCCCACAGTGCCACACCAAGATAACAGTACTTATTTTATAAGATTGGATAAAGGTTTACCACTGGTATGTAGCTGGATCATTGGAAAGTGTTAGCTGTTATTAGTGTGTGAGGTCTCCGCAATTGTGCCTGGTTACTCCAGCTTTATCTTGTGTCTTTTCTGGTGGTTTCCACACTGATGAGAAGCAGGAGGTTGTTCTACGGGGGTAAGTCAAAAGGTATTTCTACTAAGGTTCCAGTTCATTCATGCATGGGTTTATTCCTAACAAGACACGCTTAAACATGTCTCTGCAATCAGTGGGTAGCTGTAGAGAAGTTCTCTCAGTAATATACTTGTCTTAGTCTCATTGGGGTGTCTTTAAAACAAAAAAAGGTACAATCAGAGAGTGACTTCTGAAGGGATCGACTAGGCAGTTCAATTCAAGGTGAAAAGGTCATCTCAGATGGTTATGATGATTGTTGTTTGAATTCTGAAGGGGAAATCTTGATAGATTTTATTGAAGGACACAGGACCATCATAGGGACTTATTGTGAGTAAGTTGTAAGGAAACGGAAAGCTACACTGGTGAGGAAAAAGCTTGGAAAGTTGTACTGAGAAACTGTTTTCTGTCACATTGGATATCAAAGTGGCTGTTTTGATGGGCTGTAAACCAAAGAGCACAGAATTCTTGGGGGAAGGATTAGAGATGGAAACACCTCCGATGGCACCTAACAACAACAAAGCACAGAGACCTAGATGGAGGACATGTTGAGAAACAAGAGCTTCATGTTTTAAATCAACGTTTCTGTGGTTTTATAGCACCACTTTATGATTTAGCCTCAAATTATTATAAACCATTTGGCAGATGAAGAAACTGAGGGTCAGGAAGGTCAATACGCTGCCCCAGGCCAACAATCAGTAATCGTGTCCATTCTCACCAAAACCCAAACCAAACCCACTGCCTTGGAGCAAGCTGATTCCAACTCAGAGCAATCCTATACAGGGTTTCCGAGACTGTCAATCTTTATGGAAGAAGACAGCTTCATTGTTCTCCTGCAAAGTGGCTGGTGGGTTTGAATAACCTTGTGGTTATCAGCCCAATGCCTAACCCACAACGTCACCATGCACCCTCCTCCTGGCAGTCACCGTGACTCCCCCTCCTATTCTAGTGTGGTACTCCTGTGATGGATGGGACACTTATTACTACGTCTTATTTCTGCATTTATTTAAGGTTAGGCTGCAAGCAGAGTCCTGGTATGGTACGCTATAGGATAAGCACTAGACCACCACAAGACTAGTGGTTCAAACCCTATACAGCGGTCACTCTGAGCTGGAACAGACTCCACAGCACTTAACAGCAACAGGCTGAAATCAGCTGCCTTACAAAAAATATATGCCTGATCATGTCATTCCATGCTTACAGATCTCGAATGGTGTCAACAACACTGACATCAAGTCCTCCCTGTGGCCCCTAGGTCCTCTGTGGTCTGGCCCCTGCCTGCCTTTCTACCTGCTCTCCTTCTACCTGTGCCTCACCCCTGCTCCTCCAACTCCCACAAGACAAGCCCATCCCCTCCTCAGACTCTTCATCTTTGCTTAGAACTTTGTAAGGCTAAGGGCTCTTCATTCAGGCCTTGCTCAAATACTGCCTTCCCTGACCACCGGATCTAAAATTGCTTCTGGATCCTTAGAGGCAAGGATGGTGACACTTCACCTCTCGTACTTTTCACAGATTGTCAGGAAGGGTCAGCGAAAAAGAGGAAGATCCCCCAATGAGGTGGACTGACACAGTGGCAGTGAAGAAGAGGAAGACCCTCAGTGAAATGGATTGATACAGTAGCAGTAGCAATAGGCTCAAACCTAACAATTGTGAGGCTGGAGCAGGATCAGGGAGTGTTTCATTCTGGTGAGCACAGGGTTGCTGAATCGGAATCAACTCAACGGCACCATCCTTAACCTGCTGGATTTTCTTCAGAGCCCCTGATACTGTCTGAAACTTTGGTATGGATGGATGGATGTAATCCATCTCCGCTCTCAAGGCTACAAATTCCTTAAGGGTAAGATTCTTGTCTTGTTCATCTGTGTAATCCCAGAGCCTAATACAGCACCTCACTCACTTACTGCCTGCCATTGAGTCGATTTCGAGTTACAACAACCCTGTAAACCTTTATGAGAGCAGAAAGTCTCACCTTTCTTCCGTGGAGTGGCTGGTGGGTTTGAACTGCTGACTTAGTGGTTAGCAGTCCAATGCATAATCCACGAAGCCACCAGGGCTCCTTAAAATGGTGCCCAGTACCTAGCAAGTGTTTACGACTCAAACTGGTGAACAAGTGTCATTAGATGAGTGACTCCTTGGAGGAAGCTGTGTGTTGTCTCGGCATGTCCTAGCAGGAAGCCCTGACCTCACATGGCCACCAGCCCTTCGTGAAGGCGGCACCGGCTACAGATACACTTGATGGGGAATGAAGTCCCTAAGACCTTACCAGCTGGCTGTGAATCTGAAGGGGTGAAGGGGGCACTGAAAAGGGGCTTAGGCCTTCAAAAAGAGCAAGCTGGGTGAGGAGTCCTGCCTCTATTCATCTGGCATTTCAGCAGGGGTAGGGCATGGTGATACAGTGTTTAAACACACTGCTGCTAACCGAAAGGTTGGTGGCTCAAATGTACCAGCTGCTCCTGGGACAAAGATGTGGAAGTCCACTTCTGTAAGGACAGCCTATGGGGGCAGGGCTACTCCGTCCTCTAGGGTCCCTATGTTGTTGTGAAGTGCCATTGAGTCAGTTCCGACCCATAGCGGCCCTGTATAGGGTTTCCAAGGAGCATCTGGTAAGCTTGAATCGCCGACCTTGCAGTTCAAATGGCTTTGCTATGAGGCGGGATCAATTTGATGACAATGAGTTTCTAGAGCAGGGGGCGCAATGGTTAAGTGCTCCGCTGTGGATCGAAAGAATAATCAGTGGTTCAGACTCCACCAGCTGCTCTGCAGGCAGGCAATCTGCTTCCATAAAGATGAAGCCTAGGAAACCCTATACGGCAGCTCCTGCTCTGGCCTATAGGCTTGCTGTGAGTTGGAACCAATTCATTGGCACAGAGCAGAGCGTGAGCAATCTCTGACTGGGTGGTGCACATGGCTGGTGGTTTGAACCCACCTAGAGGTGATCTGTTCCTGAAAGGTCCCAACCTTGAAAACCCTATGGTGTATAGTTCTACTCTGACACACATGGGGTCACCAAGACTAGGAACTGACTGGACAGCAATTAACACCATGGTGAGAGCTTCACAGAAGACAGGGACTGTGTCTGTCTTGCTCCATTTCCTTGCCCTGACCCAGGCCCATGGTACATGTGTTGAATGTATGAGGGGACTTCAAAAGGTGTGTGGGAAAATTTCACGATTTTTTCATTTCATTTTTCTGCACAATTTTGGAAGTCACCTGCATGAATGCTGGGACTGGGAGATCAGAAAGACGCAGGGGCTTGAAGATGGTGGGGTGGTGGGGTGAGACAACAGACAACAGACCTAAAATGAGTGTGATGGATTCAAACACATTTCAAGAGGGAGAATGGATCCAGAGAGATGAGATGCGAGGGATGAGAACAAAAGGAGGCCTAGAGCTCTGGTAGCGTAGTGGTTAAGGGTTGGACTGCTAACTATTAAGGTCAGCAGTTCGAAACTACCCGCTGTTCCGCAGGAGAAAGATGAAGCTTTCTGCTCCCGTAAAGATTTACAGCCTCGGAAACCCTGTACAGGGTCGCTATGAATCGGAAGCGATTCCACGACACACAACCACCACCAAGGATGCTTGGGTGGCAGCGATGTGAGGGAGACACACATGCTGGCCACATTCACGATTGCTTCCCTTTGCTTAACACATAATCCAGTTGAGAGAATACTGAACGAAGACTGAATATATAGACACAGAACTGAGGGGAGTGTGATGAGGCAGAGGAAGGCTGGGAGAGTCAGGCAGGTAGGCTTTCCTCCTGCTGGATCCCTAGGGCCCAGGACAGGGTCTGGAAATACAAGTGAATGAATACAATTTCTAGTTTATGAGTACTGTCTGTCTGTGTATTCTCTTGCTATCCCTATCGCCACTGGATCTCCCCTCCTCGTGAACCAAACATTCGTGAACAACACAACTATGTCGAGGTCAGACCCTGACAGACAGAAATGTGGCTGTCACGGTTTCCACTGGTCTCCTGGTTAACCCAAAATCACAAATTAAAAAGAAACCAATAAATAAAACAACCGACCCCATTGTCGTTGAGTTGATTCTGACTCATAGTGACCCTATCTGACAAAGAACTCCTCATAGGGTTTTCCCAGGCTGTAATCTTTACAGGGAGTCGGGGGTGTGGCGCTGTGGGTTAAAGCGCCAGACTGCAAAGCTGTTTGAACTGCAAGGTTGGCGGTTCAAGCTCACCAGCGGTTCCTCAGAAACCCTACACCGGGTCGCTATGGGTCAGGATCGACTCGATGGCGCTCAACAACAACAACAACAATCTTTACAGAAACAGATGGCCACATCTTTCTTGTACAGAGCGACTGGTGGGTTCAAACCGCTGACCCTTTGGTTAATCGTCAAGTGCGTAACCACTTGCGGCACCAGGGCTCCTCTGGGCTCCCAGTGAAGAGCTGCTCCATTAGTAACATGTGCTGACTCAATGGGAAGCTACTGGACCTAGATGTGGGCCCTGGGGAACCTTCTCTTCCATTTGGCCTCATTTATTCCTTCATTCATTTATTTATTTACTCAACCAACCAATCAACTCAGGAGAGCTTGTGAGAGGCCAAGCTGCCTGGGACCATCTGCATCTGCCTCTCTACACCCCTTTTTCTCCTCCCTCATCTTCTCCAGGCCGCCTGAGAGGCTATTAGAACTCCAGGAAGTGGTTCTCAACTGGGGTTAATTTTGCCCCAAAGTGGACATTTAGTAACGTCTGATGACATTTACTTTCGGTTGTTACAACTTGAGGGTGCAGGGGAGGATGCTAATGGCATTTAGTGGGTAATGGCCCAGGAAGCTGCTACAGAACTTACAATGCACAGGGCACACTCCCCACAACAATTATCCAGGTCAAAATATCAACAGTGACCGGCTGTGAAACTGGTTAGGTTCCTTTTGCCTCTGCCAGGTGGAATGGGGTCATAGGTTGGATGGGGAGCATCATCAGAGCAGACACTTGAAGGGCAGGGAATTCTTGACTTCAACCTTTCCTGAGCTACAGTGATTTTAGTAAACTACAGTGATAGGTTGGCAGGCAAGACCATCCCCTCAGAGCTTCTTTCTCCTCCCTTCCTGGAACAAGACCTGCCCCACCCAGCCCTGAAGGTAGATCGCTGTCTCTTCCGGACCCACATTACCTTTTGGAGTCCCTCCTATTGGTGGTGCTGTAGGAAAATCACTGGCATGCTAACCACAAGAGCAGTGGTTCAAGCTCACCAGAAGATCAGGGGAAGATGAGGCTTTCTGCTCCCACAAAGATTCACAGCCTCAGAAACCCTATAGAGTCTCTATGAGTCAGAACCTACTTAAAGGCACTAACAAGACTTGCCTCACATTCCCTGGGAAGAGAGCTTTGCAGGAGGAGACAGACCACTTACTGTTGATAGATTTGAGGTCCCGGTGGATGATGGGTACCGGGGCATCATTGTGTAGGTAGTTCATACCCCGAGCGACCTGCACCGCCCAGTTGACGAGCACGTGAGGGGGCACCCGGCGTCCTGCCAGCACTCTGCTCAGTGCGCCCCCTCTGGCATATTCCATGACCAGACAGAGGTGTGGGGGGCTGAGGCAGGCGCCCCGAAGGGCAATGATGTTGGCGTGCTGCAAGGCTCCAAAGAGCCGGGCCTCCTGGCGCACCTGCTCTGCTGTGACTGCCGAGTCCTGCTCAGGGTCCAGTCGGGCGGCCTTGACAGCCACCTCCTCGCCGCGCCACAGAGCCCGGTAGACCTTGCCAAAGCCCCCGACGCCGATGATCTCCTCCAGTTCCAGTTCGTGGAAGGGGATCTCCTGGGGGAGCTGGAGGCTCGCGGGCGCGGCAGGGGTCACAGGGGCCACGTAGTTGCTGGGGAAGACACCCACCCGGCCGCTGGGCAGCTGCCCGGTCCACCAGCCCTCGTCTCCGGACACAGCACAGTCTTGAGAAAGCACCTGGACACGGTCGCCCCTCCGCAGGGTCAATTCCTCATCTCCCGCCGCCTCATAGTCGAATACCGCGGTCCAGACCGGCCCCGCGGGGGTCGTGCCCCACTCCCTGGCCACCGCCCCCTCCTCCTCCTCCATGGGGGAGGGGCCGGGAGCTGCGGGAGGCCGCTTCACACAGGCTGCCCGCGGGATGCTGAGGGCGGGCCCCAGCGGCCAGGATGGGGGGCAGTCTCTGTGGGTTGTGGGGGGCTTCTGGGGACCATGGCTGGGGAGCAAAAAGAACGTCTTTACAAGGGCGGGATCAGATCGTCCCCTCGGATTCCTGCTACCCAAGCAGGGTGGAGTGGGGGTGGGGTGGCGGGTTCACCTGTCTCCCCCAAATGTCAGGGCGCTAAATGCATCTGGCTGCGCATCCCCCGAATTCCTGCTGGGGCCCGCCGGTGGGGGCGAGGGCGAGGGACGCACGCAGCCCTCTTCCCCGCGCCTCTCACCCCGTGGAGCTCCACCGGCGGCCCCCAGCTCCGCATCCTGGCCCACGGCCGCCGGACGGGGCAGGGGTGGTGGGGCCTGGGGGCGCCCGCCCCGGATTGGGGTGGCGCGCCCCTCGACCGCTTCACGCAGGGGGTGGCCGGACAGCCCCCATCCTCCGCACCGGCCTCCCGGTTGGCCCCAACCCCTGGCCCCGCCCGCGCTGCTTCCCGGGGCCGCCGGCGGTGCCAGCGTTACGTGCCCGCTACCGCCGCCGTAGTGCGGCCTGGGAGTTGTAGTCCCTGGCTGCGCGTCCTCGAGATCCATCCCAGTCGTCCAACCACCACCCTCCTGCCACCCACCAGCCTTACTGCCCATCCCCGGCTGCAATAGGGACCCCGAGGGACCAGGAAAGTGCTCCTAGGACGATAAACCCGGTTTCAGACCCGGTGGGCCGGGAGTTTGGAGGTGGGAAGAATGAAGGAACCAGCATTCCCCACAGACCCTGCTGGAACCACGACCCATGCTGGGGTGACAGTAAGGAACGCGCCTTACAAAAGGAAAAGAAAGAGCTATATGAGCTAGGGTTAACTTCTCAGAGCATCCAATGTTGCCGGGACTAGGCCGGACGGTAGGACGGTCCCTGAGGCTCCCGGCCCGAGGTGCACGCTGGGAAATGTAGTCGGCCGTCGACTTGCGGCGTTAGGGAAAGCGGACCCCAGTCCTCAGTCCAGTGTTTAATTCACTGTGCTACTAGGGATGCTTCAGCACCACAAAGTCAAGTATAAAAAGGGTGGTTTGAGGGTAAGAAATAGTAGCTTCACAACTACTCAGCATCCATAGACAGCTTTCTGTACTTTGTTGTTGTTAAGTGCCATCGAGTCGGTTCCGACCCATAGCAACCCTGGAGAGGGTTTCTGAGGAGCAACTGGTGAGCTTGAACCGCCAACCTTGCAGTTCAAAGGCTTTTCAGTTTGGCTCATTAGCCCACAGCACCACACCAGGACTTCTATACTTAGTAGGACTTTAATTTAGCTACTATAACAAGGACCTCTGGTAGTGTTGTTGTTGTTAAGTGCCGTCTGGTAGTGTAGTGGATATGAATTGGGCTGTGAACCTAAAGGTCAGCAGTTTGAAACTACCAGCTGTTCCACGGGAGAAAGATGAGGGTTTCTGCGCCTGTAAAGATTTGCAGCCTGTTGCCACGAGACAGCCATTGTGTGTATCTCGGTTTTGCTTGCTCTATGATTTTTCCCTCAGCAGGGTCAGCATTTCGAGTCCACCAAGTGCTGTGTGGGAGAAAGATGAGACTTTCTGCTCCTCTCCTGGTGTGACGCTGTGAGATAATGCGTCAGACTGCAAAGTCGTTTGAACTGCAAGGTCCGTGCTTCAAGCTCACCAGCTGCTCCTTGGAAACCCTATACAGGGTCACTATGGGTCGGAACCTACTCGAGGGCACTTAACAACAACAACAAAGCTTTACAGGAGTCCTGATGTCACGCTGTGGGTTAATGCGCCAGACTGCAAAGCCGTTTGAACTGCAAGATCGGTGCTTCAAGCTCACCAGCTGCTCCTCGGAAACCCTATACAGGGTGACTATGGGTTGGAACCGACTCAACGGCACTTAACAACAACAACAAAGATTTACAGCCTCAGAAACCCTTTGCAGGGTCGCCATTAGTCAGAATCGACTCCACAGAACTCTACCACAACCAACACCACCACTTCTGGTATTCCTCCAAGCCCTTCCATCTTCTCGCTTTATTTTGGAAAATTTCCACTTTATTTCTTTTCAAAGGAAGACTGGAGGTGGATTTGAATTATGGTGTGGGAAAAGAATATTGAATATATCATGGACTGCCAAAAGAATGAATAATTCTGTTTCAGAAGAAGTTTGACCAAAGTGCTTCCTAGAGTTGAAAATGGCGAGACTTCATGTCTCATATTTTGGACCTATTGTCAGGAGGGACCAGTCCCTGGAGAAGGACATTAAACTTGGTTTGACAGTTAATGTTTTGTGTCAACTTGACAGGGCCAGGATTCTCAGTGATTTGACAGTTGTAATGTTGTTGTTAAGTGCCATGGAGTCAGTTCCAACTCATAGCCACCCTGTATAGGGTTTCTGAGGAGCAACTGGTGAGCTTGAACTGCCAACCTTGCAGTTCAAACTGACTTTTCTGTCCAGTGTATTAACCCACAGTACCGCACCAGGACTCCAGTTATCCCCATAATAAAATCTACTATAATCTACTTGATGATGAGGTCAGCTATAAGCAATCAATCAACTGAAAGGAAGTTTCTTCAGGGATGTGGCCTGCTTTCCAATATATTAGACCCTCAGGCAAAGCTTGCTTGTTTTCTGTTGGGTCTAGATCTTGCATCTGGCTCATCCTCCGACCTCCAGTTCTTTGGACTTGAACTAGAGACCTGTTCTATTTTTCACTTATCCCGGGAGCCCTCATCAGCCTACCTTCTTACCTGCCAGACTTATGTACCTGCCAGACCTGCCCGCCTGCCATCTGACTCTCCTACAACCATGTGAGCCAATTCCTTGATGTAAATGTCTCTTTATATATACACATATGTAAGTTTCACTGCTTCTCTAGAGAAACCAGCTTAAGACACTTGGTAGAGTAGAGGATCAGTGAAAAAGAGGAAGACCCTTAACAAAATGGACTGTCACGGTGGCTACAGCAAACTTGACAACAGTTGTGAGGATGGTGCGGGACCATGCCGTGGTTTGTTCTGTTGTCCAGGGTCACTATGAGTCTAAACAAGACTTGATGACATCTAACAACAGAAACACCTAGAAATAGCGTGTGTGCTTAACAAAACTCCACTGAAATGTTTTTGTTCAAGATTTTAGTTTGGTGGTTTTTTGTTTTTGTTTTTTTTAATAGCCAAACTTGACATTATTGTTGTATTTTGATAGTCAATGTATAGTTACGTATTTTACATGTACTTATGGTAATGGTTACGAATCGGACTGTGAACTGCAAGGTCAGCAGTTTGAAACTACCAGCTGCTCCACAGGAGAAAGATGAGGCTTTCTGCTCCCGTAAAGATTTACAGCCTCAGAAACTCTGTTCAGGGTCACTATGGGTCAGAACTGACTCGATGGCACTTAACAACTACAACAATGGCTTACCTTTTCTTTGCTCATCATTCCTTCTTGCTAATTACAGTCTGTTATAGTTTGATTGTTTTCTTTTTGAAGTATATCCTTGAAGAGATAAGCTTAAGAGAGTGTCTTGGGAATAAATTCTTGGTTTTTGGTTTACTTAAACAATACTTTAATCTTCCTATCTTAACAGTATCCATTTTATTCTTGTTCTTTAAAGAGAATTTTGCTGAGTATTTAATTCTAGGTTGACGGTTTGTGTTTTTCTTTCAGCACTTCAAAGGTAACATTCTATGATCTGACTTCTGTCGTTGCTGCCGTGAAACGAAACGTGACTTTTCGGACTGTTTTAACAGCATTCTCTTTGGTATTCTGAGGTTTGCTGTGTCAAGGTGTAGATGTCATTCTATATAGGTTTGTTTTATTGTTAAGTGTCCTCGAGGTGATTCCAACTCCTAGAGATCCGATGTACAACAGAACAAAACACTGTCCCGTCCTGCACCACGCTCACAATATCTGCATTTGAGCTCATTGTTGCAGCTGTCGTGTGCGGTGTCAGTCCTTTTTATTGTGAATCTTCCCCTATTTTTATGGACTCTCCTGAATTTGAGGAAGCCTCTTTCTTGAATTTTGGAAAGTTCTTAGCTATGATCTCTTCAAATGTACCTCCCTTTTCTATTATCTTGAACCAAACAAATCAATAGCAAAACAATAACTATAATTAGATGTAGGTTGCATTTTCATACTCTGTTCTGCATATTTCTTTTTTTTTTTAATGTTTTATTGTGAATTATATGATAGTTTACATGAGAGAACTTTAGTTTTACATTCATTCCATTGTACATCATCTCATTGCCATGGTTCCAATCCCCTCCATGCATCACCAACCAACCAAAGGGTATAGCCTAGAAACCCGCCCCCTACACTTCCTCCTCCCACCCCCACCCCCCACTCCACCCCCAGTTTTCGGCCCACAGTCCCTTTCCCTCTCTGGATCCAAAGTCCCCAGCCGCTTCATCACTCCACGTCATCTTCACTATCTCCATCTCAGGCATCTCTGTTTCTCTGGGTAGGGTCCAGCTCTCGGCCCTTCTCTGTTGATGGTCCCAGAGACTTCCGCTCCTAGCCTGTAGAATTAATCACTCCCTTCCTTGTTACAAAACTTCTACCTTTGCATTTCCAACCCTCATAATCCATCCTGATAAGCAATATTCACTACAGTATCACGAGTTACCCATCTGTATTTCCTTTCATCAGCTCCGCCCAGACAGATTGAATAGTACCCACTGGAGAGTCTGCCTTCCTCCATGCTCCCTAGCACTCGGTTCCCTCTTGATGTTCTGCATATTTCTTAACCTATCATTTACAATTTCCATTCCTTTCCTCTCTGTGCTTTATCCTGTATTGTTAAGCGCGGATCAGACATAAGAGTCAGTTACAACTCATAGTGACCCTGTATAGGGTTTCCAGGGAGCAGCTGGTGAGTTTGAACTGCCAACCTTGTGGTTCAAACTAATCTTGAGGGTGAGTACTTATCCTGTGGTACCAT